GGTAAAATTAACTACTTCAAAATATTACCATGGAAAATAATAACAACCAAAAAAATTTCTGTTGATAATATACTCTGTATATGTTTGCTTCTTCAGCACAATTTCATCTAAATTTAATTTAAAAGGCTGCGTGGTTCACATTCATTTAAAACAAACAGGGCATTTCCATCAGCATATCCCATTAGTAATATGACTGTGGTAATAACATAGTCACGTTCTACACAAACTATAAGACTTTGTTAGCTTTCTTGTTTATATGGTACTAAAGTCCTACACAATTTAAACGAGTCTCTGACCTCTCACAACATCAATAATAGGAGTACTTTGTGCTCCTACAGCACCTTTCATCTTAGAGCTCTTCTGACATGTGAATTTTCATTACATCTACATACAAGTAGGTGTCTAGCCACACTTCAAAGGCAAGGAAACTGTGCAACTGAAAGGTTACACAACTTGGCCCAAATCCCCAGTGAACAGCTGGGAATGTGAACTCTCCCATTACTTGTTTTGAACGTCCAGACAATAATACTTACCCCCAAAACAAGCTTCATAAGGCATTAATCAAAATGTTTAACCCCCTACTAAGTTTGCAAATGGCATGGGCAGACAATAAGCTCACTAATTCTTTTTGATACATTATTCATGACTTGTTCTCTTTTTCTGGCAACACTTTCTTTTTTCAAGTTAAAAAAAAAAAAAACCTAACCAAAAAAACCCAATCAAATACAAGAAAATAACAGTTTGCTTTAAAGCAATTACTGAGAAATAATTTGGAATCCAAAACATTTAGCATTTCCTTTATGGCTTGCCTGTTTGATAGCAATCACCACACCATGCACAACGTATGGCAACTTCTCTGCCGAACCAGAGCACCTGAATGACCTCAGGAGAAAGTAGCAGCAAGGCTCTGCTTAGTTGGTTTTAGTTTCCAAGGACGTGCAAGCCGCTGAGCAATGTTATGCCTGCATACGTAGCAGTTATGTTGGCAAATTAAACTGCCAAACCAACAGCTAGTGATAGCAACTGAAGCTAACGATCCAGGGGCTAGCTAGAAAGTTAAAAAAGAAACCCAAACAAAAAAAAAACCCTCCTAGTGTTCCCACTGATAATTAAGGGACTACTGCAGATAGGCCTTGAGATCAAAATATTGCTCTCTTCCTGTCCTTTGCCACTCCTTGAACATCCTCTGATGTTACCAGTTACCAGCCACACCTGCTAATTGTATTTAATGCTGCCTAAATTCGATTCGAATGTTAGTGAACTAATGCACACCTCAGCTTCCCCCTCTATAATAATGCTGATGCAAATGCACACAGACATTACAAGTCAGGCCACCACTATATATGTGAGCAGCTCTGAAACTGTGTGGGTGGTGACAGATTTTTGAGCCCACAGGGTAGTGGAGCTATTATTTGCTGGGTGAGTTGTTTGAGGTTGTGTTGCGCCTCATCACATTGGAGCCATTTATTTATTTATTTCCAAGCAAGTGCATCCAACAACATTTTTCAAGGGAGCCAGAATTTTTAATGCAAACTCTGCTTTCCAACAACTGAGCTCTATATACAATGGTAATTATTGTTAATCTCAGGGTAAGATACTGAGAGTTGAATGCCTTTAACAGTAGAATAAAAGTGAGCATCTCTCTTCTGATGGTGTTAAGTTCAAGACACAACTTTATGTGGCGAAATATATTAGTGTGGAGAAAGACCATTTAGCCATAATACTTGGGACTATTTTCCTGAAGGCCTTTCTCTAAGAAGAGAGCTATGCAATAGTTCATTTCATAAAAGCCATGCAGTACTGTAAATAAACCGGAAATGGACTGCAGAAGGAAATAATGAAAACAAGTTAGAAATGGTTTATCTCTCTAATATTCTGGTAATTTACCTATTCATGCATCAGCATGACCTTTTTTAGAAGGGGAAAAGTCAGGTATTTGTCTAAGAGATTTTATGAGGCGAACAAATGAGGTCGCCTCACTAAACTGCAGTAATATAGCCTTGTCTTAAGGCTTTATTGGATTAGGGTCCAGAAGTCAACAGGAGGCTCTTCACTGGCTACAGCGGTTCTGGAAGTGACTGCAGGAGCTGAACTTATTAGTTCTTAAGCATTCTGCCAGCATTTTTTACTTCCTATAAACTAAACACACTTGCCATTGCAAACATCTTATATGGGGCAGTGATGACAGCCTCAATCTCT